ATTTTGACGAGAGTGCTGAAAGTTGAATATGTTCGAAAAATTTTTGAATTTTAACACTTAAATGATTTTGATACTAATATTAACAGTTATTCAGAGTTATTTTTTGTTTCTCATTAAATAACATCTTAATCTCATAACTCATTAAATTTATGAAAATTTATAGTAAAAAAGGAATCTTATTTTTATAAGGCCTGGATTAGTAACTTTAATCTTTAATTAGTAAATAATTTGATCTTATGTAGTTAATCAAAGGATCTTATGCAGTAAATAAAGGGATCTTATAAAATTAAATTACTTGAAACCATTTAAATCATTTCATTTAAAATTAAATTTAATTTATAATTTATTAATCTTCAAACATTAATAAATATATGAATTTTAAATAATAAATATAATTATAAATATAAGAATTTTCAAAATTCAACAACAAAAAAAGTAGATTATCTAAAATGATCTAACTTCTGTGTTAAAACAATGTTAACAATTTTAAAAAATAACCATTTTAACCACATATTGCGTGTTGTTTGATTTATTTGCAAAACTTTTTAACTTTGCGGTCTTCAATATTTAAAGAAACTTTGTCTGACGATTCATTCGATTTTCTTAGACCCTTGAAAAAACAATTCAAAATGGTGGAAACAACTGTGTTGATTAATAATGCTTGTAAATCGAAAGGTAAAGCTGTATAGAAATATATAAAAAGTTTAGAAATGTATCCAACGCACTGGAACCGCATCTTTGCATTACGTAATAAAATAAAAAGAGAATACGCATATCTGACATATTGAAATAGATCCTCAGTAGGGTGACATAGTCGACCACGAGATACTTACTCAGTAAACTCATATGCATTGGTAACAAAGGTATCAGATACGGATATACTTGGTAAAAATTTATGCTGGACATAACCCGAAATGTAATATAGGGTAGCATTTTCTTCTTCGGAAATTGCATCAATTGAAGAGACAGATGTATCAAGATAACTAATGTCATCCTCATTCAGATCTAATTGACAACACTTTGATTGAATAATTGAGCATTGAGAAATAGGTACACCCATAGCATCCAATTTACTAAACAACTTTTTTAGTAAATTGGAACAATTTACTAAACAAGTTGTTTAGTAAATTGGAATTGGTTTACAAGGCGTTGTAAACGAAGACTATTTTTAACTTCTTCAATCGAAACATGATAACTGCCTCCACAAAGTTGCTTGGCATAAAAATATCTAAACTATATATAATTCGAATTTTATTTAAAGATACATACGAAAATTAGTGTTCTTAAATGTAGGGTCAGAGTGGTGAGGGGTTTGGGAGGGATTTACCCCAGAGCCCCTGCCACAAAAAATACATAAAAATTTAATAAAATACATAAAAAATACATAAAATACATAAAAAATACATAAAAATAGTTATTTCTATGAAATATCATTTTTGATGTTACAAAATACCAGTTATTTCTAAATAAAAGTTATTTCTACTTATAACCAAAAAAATGTGATTAAGGATTTAATTTATTTTTGCCCCCGGGCCCTTCAGTGCCAATCTGACCCTGCTTAAATGTAATAACAACAATATCAATCTGATCATAAATAGGTAAGGAATTATTTAACTACCTGTATATTCCAAATTCTCCTTCTAACCGATCTGTCTGAAATATTCTGGGAAGAACATATTGATGATCTTCATTCAGTAGTTTTCGGAATAAATCTACAATTCCGTAAAGCATATTCGACAAAGAAATTTTCGTTTCACTAGTGAATGATTTGTTCCGCTTCCAGCCCTTTCCTCCTGGCATTTTTGCAACAGCTTCAGCAAATGTCAAATTCTCTTGAAGTCGTTTATCATTTACATTTTTGTATGAAGCTCTATTTGGATCATTTAAACGTATGTCCATACCTTCTTGTTTAATATTAGGGTAATTCCATATCAATAATATTCTTTCAAGGAACTCGCTTGTCTCTTTAAAATCACAAATTTTAAGGGCTGCTACAGTCTTCTCATTAACAACAGCACACATATGGGTGACATTTTGTCGATCAATTACACCTGGATGGATAGCTTTGAATGAAAGATTTGTCAACTTGATAACATTATTTTTTTTCTTTTTCATATAAACTTACCAAATCTTTCCAATACCCTTTAAATAATTGACTATTTAGTGTCAGATGAATTGTTCAAGTTTTTTCTGTAAGCCAGTTATTTCGAATTGATTTAAACAAGTGCACTGGATCATGAAGCATTATTATACTTTGGTTGCAAATATTACCAAGCCATGGCTCATCTAAACTTAAAGCAAAAAATTGATTTATGCTACGATTTGTGGGAAGATTGTCTGAAATAAGGCATAAAATTTCTCCACCAAGTTTAGCAACTGTCTGTGTGATTTCAACAATTAAATTTTGTACAAAAATGCCAGAGTTAAGAGTTCTTGGATGTGGGAGTGAAAGTGTATCACAAAGAATTCGATAACAGCATCTTGAAGAAAGGTATAGTTCTAAAGCTCGTCGTACAACTAGCGTAGAGTAACGCTTGCCTCTCACAGGCATCATCTGCAGTTG